TAGTCTCTTTTATTTTATTTTTCATTTATTTTTATTAGTTGGAGGCTAATTACAATATCGTAGTGGTTTCTGCCATACAATGACATGAATCAGCCATGGATTTACATGTGTTCCCCATCCTGAACCCCCTTCCCACCTCCCGCCCCACCCCATCCCTCTGGGTCATCCCAGTGCACCAGCCTGAGCACTTGTCTCATGCATCCCATAGTCCCCTTTAACCTACTCTGTACCCACCAGCCAGTGATCCTTTCAAAATATAGATCAGATCACATCACAGCCTTTCATAAAATCTTCCAACAGAGTCCCATTCCATTTAGAATAAATCCATACTTCTTACTCTGACTTCAGAAGTCCTATGTCCTGACCATCCCGCTGACCTTCCGACTGCTAGCTACAGCTGCAAAGGCCTTTCCATTACTTCAACACACCAAGCTAACTCTTGCCTTCGGGACCACTTATTCCTTCTGCCTAGACTCACGCTGCATGGCTGGTTCCTTCCTGTGACTCAAGTCTTGTGAGGGCTCTCTGACAGCTAAAGAAGCTCCATATTTTCTTCATCTTGTTTTCTACATAAATACATAAATAATAATGCATAACAAACAAATACATAAATAGTATTTCAATTACTGCTTATATTACCCACTATTTTCTTATTATCTGTCTCTTCCTACTAGAAAGAGGGACTTGTCTGATTCACTTATGCATCTCTAGTGATGAGAAGACTGGCTGGCCCACAATAGCACTCAAAATCAGATGAATATGTGAAGTGACTAAGCATAATCCTGGTTATATCTCCTTTGTAACTACAACACACAGCACAGAGCGCCATGCTAACAAATTAACAAGCACAAACCTTGGTTAAGAACAGGCACACAGATGACCCAGCTTCTTTCCTTTGAGCATAAGTCAGGGGACAGAGAAAGAATAGATTTTTTTTCCTTTTCAGATATGCTACTTCTCTTACTTTTATCAAGCTAACTCACTTTACCTTTGTTAGTAATTAAACATACCTCTTCCTAAGTTTTCCTGTTTTCAGCATCCAAGTGGTAAAGGTAAGGTTTGGTAAACTTGTCATGAGATCCCATAATGTAACAACTGCCTACCTGGTCTCCCTGCATCTGTTTTCTGAAGCAGAACTGGAGTTCAACTGGAGTCCATATACTTGAGGTAGTAGTAACTTTTTGTTCCAAAGAACAAAAAAGTACCCTAGTTTAATCAAACTCAATTTTACTTTTTAGTTAAGAAGGAAGATGGAGCTTGAAGAACTCTGGGATCACTCCAACCATTTCATGCTAATCACACTGCCAATCACTTCAAAGAAAGCATAACTGCAGAAGTGCTTTTTCTTGCCTGCAGAATGTGACAACCTTCTTGTTAGTCAAAACGCTCTGGAGATGGCAGTGTAGTTGTATGCTCTAATCACATCGGAGTCTTCCTCAGACATCCACAGCAGCTACCATCGGATTTTAACGGGACCAGGTTACATTTTGATGAGTATTTTTGATGTCTTCTTACCCACTAACACTGTAATTTCCAATATATTATCCTGGGCATACTTAAACCAATATATTTAAATGTCATTTTGACTAGGACAAATTGAACCTTCAGATTAGTACACCCTGTAATTTTATGAACAAATATGCTAATAAGTGTCAGTTAATCTGGGTCACTCTGATGAGCAACTGAGAAGGTGAGGCCCCACAGCAATCAAAGCAACCTTGTTTGCTTTTTTAAGACCTACCTCTCCTCCCTCCACCAAGAGTTCCTTTGAGGGAGTTCTGTTAAGCAAAGTTTGGAAACCTTTTAGGATTCCCCTTTGCAACTTAAAGACCACACTAAGTGGGATCTCAAAGTTCCCCAGGGACACATTAAAAAAAAAAATCAATTATTCTGAAGAATCATAAATTTTAAAATGACAGAGGATTGTGCTGAATTGGTAGTAACCAAGAGCAGAACTTGGATTATTCTTTAGAATTTTAGATAATGAACTTTACTTATATAATAGTTAATCTTTTTTCTATCTTATTCCTAAATGGGCTTTGAAAATGGCTTTGATTTGAACTTATAATGTGCATGTGCGTGTATTACAGCACTGTACGTTTTTCCTAAAAGGTCAGTTTGGTTTCAAAACAGATAATTGGATTCAAGTAATCAAACTATCAAATTATAATAAAACCATCATTTAGTCAGATTTCTCAACGGTACTAATAAAACATTTTGTCTAACTCCCGGGGGTAGGGGGAGGAAATAAAGTTAGCTTTTAACAAGGCTATCTATCTTTAAAAACTTCCTTCTTTAAAGGATAACTTTTCAGTATGGTACTTATTTTTCTGTATTGTTTAATTTCTTGAAAAAGACTTAAGGATGAAGGACACGAGTTATTATTTGTCACAATATCAAATAAGATTTTTAAAATACAGTGCCAGTTATGCACTGTAATACCATAAATTTAACCACAGTTTATAGATTTAAATATAACTGAGTATAGGATTCTCCTGACACAAGTCTGCAGAATGAACAGTGGAAAATGGGTTTATAAGCCTAATATTTTCATGTGACTATGATACTTAATTTTGATACAAGTCAAATTTTATTAGACTTGGAGTGATCATAAACCGTTAAAAGTGAATTATTCAGTTTTAACAATATATGAAAGGTTTAAAAGCCTAGCAGAGTTATCCTTTTGTTCTCACTGCTGAAAATAAAACCTAAGAATCAATGGCATCTTAAAGAAAATTACCTTCTACTTAAAATTCCACACACTCATTATGGCTGATTTGTTTTAGTAGAAACTGACCGTAATATTCCAAACAAGGCTTTTGGTAGGTAATATCTGTAATTATGCAGATGTTAAATAACTGCTTCTGATAAGAACCTCTTCAATGTTGAAACAATTTACACCTTAAGAGCTACTTTTTTATGCACTGGTGCACACAATGAATGGAAGCACCAGAAAAAGCCAGCATTTTTTAAAATGTAATTTTTTAAGATTAAAAACACCAATATTTGTATAGGTAACACATGCATTTGGTTTTAAAAAAAAATCAAGTGATACAAATGGGTGGGCAGTGAAACAGAAGTCTTCCTTTTACTCTTCTCAGTCTCTTAGATCTTTTTCTCAGAATCAACTTTTGTTAATTTCTTGAATCTTCCCAGAGGGATTCCTCCTATGTACAAGCATATATCCATGAACTTTAGAAGACTTAAAAATAGCTTGCTCTAGTAAGCCTTGCTCTAGTAAGCCTAACAACCACAAGTTAGTCTGAACTTTAAAAATACATCAGCGTGTAAAAATAGTGTAGGCTGCATAAAAATAGTGTAGAAAAAAAGAAAAGCCAGGTATTACTGAAATTCATTGTTCCCACTGTAGCTCTGCCATCAACCACAGAAGCCTTTCCTGAAAGGTGCAAACACTAAATGCTTCACGCTGGTGGCCAGAGAGGGCAGTGTGTACCAACGACAAACGCAAAGGCAGAAAAGCTGCAAAACCCTTCACCACTCCGGGAGTATCAGATTCCGTCCTATCCAGCCCAGTTTCGTCAAGTTCTGCAGGTAGAGCTGTATAACAGATCTACGTGATTTCTCCCCAGAGGGGGCTACTCAGATGGAACGTCCTTATTATACTGAACATCCTAAGGGAATGAGGACAAGGAAGCAAATTCAGATAAGGAGCACTATCACAAACCCTACTGTGCGAATGATTTATTTTGAAAAAGTAAAACAAAATCTTAAATTTCCAAGGAATGGCGATGTAAATTGGGAACTACAGACAGGAAAGACTATAGAAATTAGTTTCAGAGTTTTAACATTTTAATATAATGAGGAAATCATTAATGATTTATGGAGTGACTGAAACAGTCCTAGGTTACCTTTGTACAAATTACACATATACAGTGGAGAGCTAAATTGCTGATATCTCAATTATAAATTTAGAAATATATGGAGTAATTTTTGCAACTAAAATTGAATGCAAAATCATACTGAATTTTTCAGTAAAACAAAATTCAAAAGTGTTAATGGGTGGGAAAAACCCAACATTTTTCACTGTACAAATATTAAGATACAATGAAAAGCGGTATATGGTACCGCTAATCAATGCCTTAACGCCTTACCCTATATTTTGAAAAAGAACATTTCGTAACATTACAAATACACAGCTATTCAGTTTTCAATCTAAGTCAGTAGCAGAAAAGAGAAGCCCTTTATTGGTAGTGGTGTTTTCCTCTCAGGGCCGAAAAAAAGGATTTATTCAGTTCGATTTTCAGAAACAACTTTGTATCACAATCTTAATTATCCATGTACATAAATTTTAATCTAATATTACACCTCCTGGAAAATGCAAAGCAGCTGTAGTATGTTTTGGAGCTTTGTGGACTTGGCAAGCCGACTGTTTTATTTCCCGGTACAACAAACCAGAAAGAATCAGACAGCGGCGGCAGGGTATCTGAGGTCCCGGGAGCGCCCGGGCGCAGCCCCGAGCAGCGTCTCCGGGCCGGGCCGGGCCGGGCCGCGGCGCCCGCAGTGGTGCCGCAGCCTCCGCGGCCGCAGCAGGTGGGACCCGGCCGGCGGGCAGGCCGTTTCGCCGCCCGTCACCGCGGGGCTTTTCGAGAACCGCTCCGCGACGCCTCAGCTGGGCTTTTTATTGTTCGCTAGGACTGACTTTCTGTTACTAATACTGAAAAGACCAGCCTTCGCTCCACTCGCACGAACCCTACAACTTTGCAAAGCGATGTACGGAATTCCGAGGAAGAGGCGCGAGGGCACAGCTCGCAGGGCCGGTTGGGCCGCCGAATCCCGATGAGCTTCCCGGGTCCCCCGCCAAGGCACACGCAGAGGGCTGGGAAGAAGCGCTCGCGGAAGAAGTGGATCCCGGCGGGAGCGGGGATCCGCGGTCCGCTCTTGCCAGACAAAGGGGCGCGTCGGGCGCCCGGCGCCGGGCAGGGACGCGAAGAGGCCGGCCTCGCCCGCAGGGGGCGCCGTCCGCGGCCCCGGGCGCTTACCTTTGAGGACCGAGCAGAGCTGCTCCAGGGCCATGATCCCAAGCGGCCCGGCGCCTAGCGAGGGGCCGAGGCGGCGGCTGCGGCGACGGAAGCGGGGCGCTCACGGCTCGGCGCGGCTGCAGCCCCGCTCCGTCCCCATCGCCCGCCACCAGGTTGCTCCCCGCGGGGCAGGGCTCAGGTCCTGCGGCCCGCCATGCCCGAGCCCCGCGGCGGGCTCTCGCGCTGACCGAGCCCCTCGACGGCCGCCGCCTCCTGCTCCACGGCGCTCCGTCCCATCGACCGCCTGGGAGCCCAGGAGCTCGGACGCGAGGGCCAGCACCGCCACCGGCCGCTCCGCCTGCGGCCGCAGCGCGGACCCGGCTGAAGTGCGGGGCGCTGGGAGCCCAGGCTCATTTAAGCTGGGAGCGCGAGCGCCGCGTGCCGGCCGCGCTGCCTGCGCGCATGTGCCCGCCCCCCGCCCCCGCCCCCGCCCCCGCCCGCGTGCCCCTCGCACCCCTCCCGGCCAATCGCCGGGCGAGCCCGCCCGCGGCCTCGCACCCTGGGTGGGCGGTGCGCCCCGCGGGCTGCCGTTGGGCTGGGGGCGGGGCCAGGAGGTCTGGGGCGCCGGCGTCTCGCCCGCGCTCTGAGAGGCGGGCGCGGAGGGAGAGCCCGGCCCGTCCCCCGCCCTCCGCGGGGCGCGGGGTGAGCAGGTCCGAGTCCTCCAGGCCTTCCGCCTGAGGGAGGGATGGGGCTCCGCCGCCCGCTGGACTCGGCAGCCCTGGCCCGCCTGCCCACCCCAGTCTGCCCTCGCGGACGGAGAGGGGGCCCTCACCCCTCACCCTCCTAGGACCTCAATTGAAGGTCAGAGCTCCGCCCTCTTCCGCCCTGCGCGACTACCTGCCTCGGCGGGCGGGCGGGCTTGCACCTGGGCGGGGCTCGGGACCGAGCGAGTCTGCGGTTCTCACCTGCCTTTAGCATCAGGTGAGTTAACGTGACCCACGGTGATGTTTACTAAGTTACCGACCCGCTTCCCGGGTTGCCGGGCACAGCACCAAACACTTCACGTATCAACTCTGTGATCCTAGATTCACCTCCTGCGGGATGGCGAAGAGGAGGCGGGGAAGGTTAAATACTTTGTTCAGGGCCACACAAGGAGTGAGGGAGGCCGGGTGGTGAACCCAACAGATCCGCCTCCAGAGATACCCTCTACCACCGAGCCATGCTGATGGTGTCACTTGACTCTGCTGATACGAAATCTCCACGTTTGTAAACAACTGCATAGTATGTGGTATTAATTCCGTTTTGTTTTCTCCGTAGTGATCATCATGCTTTGAAATTACCCTGCCCATCTACTACTTGTTTATTTGTTCATCACCTGAGTCTCATTTACCACACGATTAAAACAAGTTGCTTGTGATATGTGCCAGGGAAACACCCATGATTAAGACCCTAGAGTAAAAGAATATTTATACCTGTATCTGACACATAGTAGGAACTCCATAAATATTTGTCTAACAAGTTAAAGTTAAGGACAAATTGTGGCAACTGAAACTCTTTTTCCTTCTGTCTCTCAGAAAGTATTAACGAGGTCTACAAGTGAAAGCGTATTTAACATCAGTTAATATTAAGGTAGCCCTTCGCCATGTGCCATGAAAGATACATGATGTGTATATTTGGCTTCTTGAGGACAACTTATCAAGAGTTAAATTGATACTGCATGCAAGAACCAACTAGTAAATAAAGCATTTTAGGAGACTTTTCCACTGATAGAATAAAGTGACTCATTGAGAGACTAGGACAGTATTAAGATTATTAAATCTAAGTCACAGACAGTGGTGGACAAGAAGAATTAGGAGGAAGGAGCCCTCTCAGCTTCTGGAATAATGGTTCTTTTTTTTTTTTAATGCACTTTTATTTTTCTTTGGCTTCACTGGGTGGGTCTTCCTTGCATTGCAGGGGCTCAGTAGTTGTGGCTCGCAGCCTTCCTTACCCCTCTTCATGTGGGATCTTAGTTCCCCTGTTCCCTAACTGGGAATCAAACACCTGGGGCCCCTGCCAATAAAGACAGATTCTTAACCACAAGACCACCAGGGAAGTCCTTGGAATAATGATTCTTAATGCATAATTATTGGCTGAAGGAAGAATCCGTGTGTGTATGATGTCATCAGAGAATGCTTCGTGAAGGAGATGACACATGAGGAATGAAAAGTCTGTGGATACCAATTGGAGAGGAGAGAGGGTAGAAGAGCTTTCACATCAGGCAAGGAGCAGCAGCAAGCATCTTTTTTTGGGGCAAATGTGGTGATTGGGAGTGAAGATGAAGTTGAATATGGTGGGTTTGTCTATGGGGATTTTGCTTAATTGCTAGGTGAAGGAGTTTATATCTGACTCAGGAGGCCAGAGGGGCAATTTTTAATAGTGGAGCAGTGGAGTTCTGGAAAGATAAATCTGGCAGTTGAGTTGAAGATAAAAGGGGACAGAGTAAAACAACTGTAGTTAACAACTGTAGTTAAAGTATATACACAGTACTGTTTCATTTAGTCTAGTACCTCTTACTGGTAGTAACATTTTGGTGAAACCCAAGAAGTCTTTTCTGTAGTATGTTGGCTGGGGAGTAGATTCCCAAGGAGTGGTTTGGGAATGTTCATTTTGTGGCTACCTATTAAGACACCTATTTTTTGGATGTAATTGTCTACAGTAGATCTTCCACGGAATGTGGTAAAGTACAGATCATAGCTGAGATTACTGTGTGACCATATGTTGACTAAATCAAAAGGAAAGCAGTTTGCATCTCTCTCAGCTGGGGAGTTCTGTTTTTGAAATATTATTTCCCTGGAAAACACCCAGTAGCACCCAGTCTGTTCCCAGATTACCTCCAGTGCCAGGTGATTGAGAACTCTGCTGTCATTGCTGCTTGCCTGGTCTTTCACGCACAGATCTAGCCTCTGAAACTCCTCAAGAACATTCCTGTAATTTACATTTTGTTTTCTCTGACCAAGTCTTCTGTAGCTCTTGAATGGCGTTGTGGAGCATTGACTTACTTTAAAAATGCTGCAGTTTATCTCCTGTGTTTATGTACCAAACAGATTTTTATTGTCTCTCTCTTTTGCTAGAGTTTGGGAGCTCTTACATTTTATGAAATGATAGCCTAGAAAGGCAGGTTATGTTTAGAGATGGTTGTGAACTGAATGTTTCCCTCAAAATACTTGTGTTGTGGTTTGAACCCCTAGTGTGCCTGTACTGGAGATGAGGCCTCTAAGGTTAAATGAAGTCATAAGGGTGAGACCCTGACCCGATGGGATTAGTATCTTAGAAACAGCAGAGAGCACAGGCATGGAGGAAGTGCCAGGTGAAGACCTGATGAGAAGGCAGCAGCCTGCAAGCCTTCTTACCAGAAACCAAATTGTTTGGAGCCTTAATCAGGGATTCCAGCCTCCAGAACTGTGAGAACATAAATGTTGTTTCAGTCACTTAATGTATGACATTTTGTTATGGCAGCCTGAGCAGACTAATACAGAGATATACCATAACTAACGAAGACACATAACCAAACTAATACAAATAAAATCTATTTGTAGTAAAAAAAAAAGGGGGGGGGTTGTCTTATACTGTTTTTCTTACAGTGTGCATATATAACTTCAATGATAAAATTTAGTGAAAAGCAAAATTATATAGAATCTCATTGTATGAAGAGTTCAATATATGAAGATTTCAGTGGGGTTTTTAAAGGAAGGAAAAGAGGAAGTTTTTTTTTAGTTTATTGAATTAGTTGGCTTGGGTTCTCATGACTACATGTCATAGACTGGGTGATCTACACAATAGAAATTTATTTTCTCACAGTTCTGAAGGCTAGAAGTCCAATATTAGGGTACCAGTAGGGTTGGTTTCTGGTGAGACCTCTCTTCCTGGCTTACAGACTGCAGACTTCTTGCTATGTTTTCACATAGCCACAAACTCATGTCTTTTCCTCTTCTTATAAGAATATCAGTCAGATTGTATTAAGATCATACTCTTATAAGAATTACATTCTTAAAGGCCCTATCTCCAAATATAATCACATTTTGGCTTAGAGCTTCAACATATGGATTTGGGTGGGGGGAAAGGCAGTTCAGTCCATACACTCATAGACCAAAATTATCCCTGTGCCAATGTTATTGAAGAAGGCTTGTCTACAGGGAGTCAAAACTGGGTCATTTGGTAATGATGTCACCTAAACCTGTTTTCAAATTTCTGCCTAGTATAATTGCAAAGCAAGAGAAATTTTAAGAAATGTTGTCTTCTACCAGTGCTTAAGTATTTCAACTTTATCGGGGAAGATTTCTGGTCATCCATTTACTTGAGAAACTTAGGTTGTAATTATATATTTTAGAATAACATTGTTAACATACATGTATCTTTTTCTTAAAAGCCAGAATCTCATTTTGAAAGATCTGTTTACTTTATGTTTAACCCTGTTTACTAAAACTGAAACAAATGCACGTCTCTTGGTACAGTAATAGGCATGTAGTGGTATCTTTCCATGGTCTTAATATTCATTTCCCTAATGGCAAATGATGTTAAATATCTTTTCATGAGCTTAGTTGCTATTCATGTATCTTTTTTTGGGGCAACGTCCAAGTTCTTTCTCACTTTTAAATTGGGTTATTGTTTAGTTTTGAGAGTTCTTTTACATTTTATACATTCTGGATATGTCTTATTGAATATATGATTTGCAAATATTTCCGTTGCATATGTAGCTTGTCTATTCATTCTCTTGAAAGTGTTTTTGGCAAAGAAAATGATTTTAAATTTAGACTGTTTTCTTTTACGGATCATACTATTGGTCTTATTTCTAAGAACTCTTTGCTTACTGCAGTTCATGAATGTATTGTTATATGTTTTCTTCTAAAATTTTGATAGTTTTATCTTTTGCATTTAAGGTTATGATCCATTTTGAGTTAATTATTGTATGAGGTGTGAGGTTTAGGTCAAGGTTCTTTTTTTTCTTTGCATATGGATGATCAAATATTCTAACAGTACTGTTTATTTCAAAGACCATCTTCAACTAAATCATTT